CCCCAAAACCCCAAAACCCCAAAACCCCGTGATAGATAAGAGCTATAGAATTTGGAAATATTATAAATAATAAGAAATGGACCAAAAAAATCCAACGATGCAGCGAAACATCGTCAAATTTAAGATGGCCCTCCTTTTTTGACTGATGCTGGAATTATTTGGCTTATCTTACGCTTCTGAAGTAAGTTTCACCACATAATATTATTTAAATCCAAAATTTGGGTTCAGATTTACCATAAAATTGGCGCAAAGTTCTTTCTACTTTCGCTAAGATTGATAATAAGTTATATGCCATGCTATTTTACAGAATTATCATTTTTCTTCAAGTAATCGCCAATTTTTGATAGGATAGGCATTTTTAAACCGCTGTAAAAATTAGTTAAATTCTATAAATTTTGTCAACTTTTATATGGATACTTATTTTTTAATGAATTTATTTCCTATGTAAACTAAGCATAAGCCAGCAATAGATAAGCCTCCTTGGCTTGAATTTTGATCAAAATCCTTTCTAAGACAATATTTAATTCGTTAATATTATTATTTAATAATAAAGGACCTAGGATGATACTAAGATTATTCGATAATTAGGTTCTTTTGATATGCCACCAAAATATGAACTCTGATAAAATTCATCAGACTTGGCTCCAAATTGATGGAGAAGCATCCCTTTATTAAGGCTCTCCAAATTTTGGCATTTAAAAATATGAGGATTACTATTAACACTAGTTTGGTTCAGAATTTTATCTGGAATATTAAGAAAAGACGAAATTTGTATTTGACTCGACTGAAAATAACACTATGAAAGAAATTCCGTTAGCTAAGAACAAATATCTAGCTTATTAGAGATGTCTCAGTTGGCTTTAAACCGACCTGCTTGTAATCTTAAGCTTTTGGCTTTCTGATAAAACACAGATGCTTCTTAGGTGGTAATTTAAACCCTATTATTAATAAGTCTTACCTTAAGAACTAGGACTGAAGTCTCTGAACCTGCTCTGTTGGTATAAAACTCAGATACTTTTAGTACTTTTTGATGGTCAGTTCAGGGTAAGACCAAAAGACCTCTCAGTGAGTTAGTCTCTGTTTTCCTAACAAGTGGTTATTAAACTTTTTAATATCATTATGAAATAATCCGAACGTTCATTCAAATATAGACTGGTTATTTATAGCCATTTGATGAACGTTCAGGGGCATTTCTAACCTATCAGCTACAATAAAGTTTCATAAGGGGAGATTTACTCCTTCTCCATTCCTAGGCTCACAATCCACTAAGTTCTTAAATCTTCCATAGAGTGATAAAAGCTACCATCTCATTTTGTGTTGAATGAAAATAAAAGATAATTTTCAATGAGCCATCTTTGGCCATGAACAAGATTTGTCAATCCTGAAGTTCTTTCTGAGCTAGCCTTTTCATTAAGGCTCTGGTCTACAATCTGGTTAGCATCTTCTTGAATTTCTTAGACAATTATTTGGGAGGTATTTGATACTTTAAATTACGATGACATCATTTCTTGAAAATTAATGGAGTTTTATATCCCGGCAAAAGATCTGATTCATCTAAGGAAATATTCAGGGGTTAAGTTATTACTAGACTTATGGAGAGCTAAAGACCCTAAAAGCTCAGAAGTTATCCAGGCACCGTTGGGAGAGGGCTTTTTGAAATAACTTTGTAGAAGTCTTGTCAGTCATCTATAAAAGGCATTTTAGGTCAGGATTTCTCTGAGCTTAAAACCAAAATAAAATAAGTTTGTTTTTAAACCCTTTTGGGTCTAGATTCTTCGAAAGTATAGAGAATTTGCTATAATTAGGCTGAGAGACTTCATTATTTAAGATCGGCATACTCATTCGTCTTATAGTGAGCAAGTGGATACTACTCTGATGAATTTGGATGCAGAGCATGCCATCCAAGCTGTCAAACATGCACAAGTTACAACCAATGAGAAGAGTGATTTAAAAATTATCAAAGTAAGTTTTTGACAGAATAGCATTTTTGGAGCTTCAACTAGCACCCAAAGATACATGAAAATATTTAACTTTGTATAGAAGCCAACGGGTCAAACCTCTGCCAATTCCCAGAATGCAGCCAAGGTAATAATTAAGAGTTTTCATGACGTTTTAAAAATTCTTCAAGAAAAATTATTCATACTTCTTAGGTCAATTTTACTCAATCTCAAAAGAGAAATGTCTTGAATGAGAATCAAGTTGTGCTGAACAATGCTCACATCAGCTGAGCTGTTATGATTGTCCTGCTGAGCAAGTCTTCAACTTAGCTAGTTTCCAATGTGTTGCTTCATGAGCTTCAGCAACAGAGATCCTGGTAAATAACACAGAAATATCAGATTTTCCTTTCTGTAGATCTCTCATTTATTATGTGAATCCATCAGCAGAGTACTCAACAGAGCTAGGGACTGCTGAATATCCTTACAAGACACTACAATCAGTGTTTGATGAGATTTATTTAGTTCATTCTCATCATGATAGGACTATTACTATTAAGCTAATGGAAGATAGCACCAATTTTGTTCATCAAAATAGATTCATTATCGAATTAAATGAAGTAATCATCGAGTCTTACAGTGAAGTTTCAACAGTTCCAAGAAAAGCCAAGTAGGAATTGCTTCTAACCAATAGACTTGTTGCTACCAACACTAATGAGGCTCTTCCGGAGGAGTACACTTCACCAACTTTATTCAAGTTGATAAGTAAGATCATACTCTCACTCTTCTAGAAAGCTATAACACCACTCAAGAAATCACCAATGACTCCAAAATTTCATCAGCTGATAAATCATTGATGTTCACTGGGGATTCTATCTTATACATCTACAAAGCTAGTCTTACTCTGAACAATTTATATATCACCACTGGATTCAGCTCTGAAGAAGCTTCAAAGATATATCTGAATCCAATTTACTTGGGAAGCAAGACTCTCAAAATACACAATTCTAAGGTACTCCACCAAGGTTTTTTTGTCAAGACTAATCACCAAATGAACTTGGAGATTCTCGACACTGAGATTGATTTGTACAAATCGTCAGGTGGTTTTGATCTTTCCCTTGGATGTTTCAACTCAGATATTCAGTCAACAACTAGACTTGACGGATTAAGACTTTATTACTCACAGAGTAAGTCCTTTCACAATTCCTCTCTTCATGCTATTTTTAAATTTCAAAAGAAATTTAAAGCAAACTCCTCCATTATTTATCCAAGAAGGAGGAGACATTATCATGGTAAACAACTCTATATTCCAAACTTATGGGGAGCTAGGCTCGTCAGGATCTTTCTTCAGCCATGTAGACCAAGCTCCATGCTCAGGTGTTCATACTCACTCAATCACCATCACAAACTCAGCAATGGTGTCTCCTGAATTCACTCCTTCATTCCTTCAGCCATCATCTAATTTTAAATTTGAGTAAGCTTTTATTCTAACTGTGTAGGAGAGGAGAAGGAGAGTGGGTCACCAGCATAATCTTTGACAACTTCACTATCAAAGACTTTGACTTGAAGTATTCTACCCCGATCCACATAAATCATAATGGGTTCACCAATTTTGTCCTTAGGAACAGTAACTTTAAAAATATTACTCTTGGACAAGAGTTAGTAGAAAGTGGAAGCCTTGCAAGTGGCTCTTGAAAGAGTAAGCTATTCCTATAAGTCTATGTAGGTTACACATTGGAGAATATTCAATTTGAGAATATTCTCATTAGTAATAAAGGCCTCTTGGATATCATTACCAGAAACGGGATAACTATCTCAAATCTAAGTTTTGTGAACACTCAATTCCTTTCTCCTTTAAAAGCAGCACTGATAAGAATGGAGATATCTGAATCAGGGGATATCAATGCTTCAAACTTGACCATAGTTGACGGAATAATGGTTTTCTCCAAGACCCTTCTTGAGATGTCCAACACTTATGGAATTACCACTCTCTCAAAGCTAAATATCACTTCATTCAAAGCTTTTCGAGATTGCTCGTACATCAAGCTGCTTCAATCAAATCAGACTTTTCTGAACAATATGGTGTTTACTCATCTATACCCAGAACCTGCAGAGGATGAATCATGAGTGATTATGGACCTCAGAAAGATATCTTCAGTAATATCCAATAACATCACGATTAATTCGATGATTTGCACTGATTCTGTGGTGAAAACTCTTCTGATGTCAAATCCTTCCCAAAGAAAAGACATTGATCAGTATATCTTCATCAATGGACTTATCCTTCAAAACATCATTAATAAAAGAAGAGAAGGAATGATTGACTTATATGATATTAATTCTAAAGGCATTTTTAAAGTCGTCTTTGACGGCTTCATAATGAGGAGAATAATTGTTGGCATAACATCTACTGAAATCCCATATGATGAAGAAGGAAATATTCTGTACGATGACATTCCTATAGATCCAGCAATATACTCGAGAATTCTTGAATTCCATCACCAAACTGAGGAGCCTATTGAGATGCGAAATTCTCTCTGGGAGGAATGTAAAAACTTTATGATAGAGACTCTGCCACATGACTCTTCACTTCCTATAAAGACTAAAGTAGCTTTTCATAATATTACAGTCAGAAATATGGATTTCACTACTGTGTAAGTTTGTTTCTAAACCCAAAATAGAGATTTCATTGTTGTTCTTGGAGTTTCAGACATTGTGATGACAAATTCACGTTTCTACAATAATGCCAATATTTGGAGAGGAATCTTCGTCTTTGTGTTGGTAAAGAATTCTCATACCTACATTTCAGACTCTGAGTTCTATAACAATACTACTCCATCAGCTGCTCTCTTTAGTATTAATACAGGAGCATCTCTTACTTGTATCAGATGTAACATGACCAACAATTTTGGAATTGGGAGTGGAGTCATAGAAACATCTCAGGGTGGAAATTTTGTCTTCATAGACTCACATTTCGAAAACAACTTTGGATACATAACATCTGTAGGAATTGTAGATCAGTCAGATAATAGTTCATTGGTCAGTAACTGAACTTTAAAGAATAATTTTGTTGTCAGCAAAGAGCAGGTTCTCAATGAAGTTCTCAATTATGGTAACTATAAACTAATGTTTTTAGACTACATACCACAATCCTTCAAAGATTTTATATTAGCTTTTCCTCATCTCTTAGAGCAAAGAAGAAAGAGAACTTTATTTAGTATAGAGAGAGGGCTCTTTGAAATTACAGGGGACACAAAAATAGAGCAGACTGAGGGAATTTTATTTTCCGTTGGATCAACAATCAACATTAACAATTGTACTATCTCAAATATTGTGACGCAATGGTACTTCTTTGATGTCATCGAGTCAGATGGTAAGCATTTCCTGACCAAACTAATTCTTATTATAGTCTTGTTAGATAGAGTCAAAATGAAGACTGTCAAAAAGGAGATAGTAGATTATTCTTCTATTTTCAGATCAATCAGTTCTAACATTACAATCCAAAAATGTCAATTTGAGGATATTCACATTCCAGTTATGTATGGATCTGTTTCTAGAATCGTACTATCAGACATGTCTGTATTTTCCAGTTTCTTGCTGAAACAAAACATGCTGTGGCTTTGGTCTTGCCCATCAATAAGAATAAAGCAAATTAGCGTTACTACTACCCAAGTTAGCGTTCCATTATACATTATAAAGAAATCAAGAATAGAAGCTATAGAAGATACTTATATTATAGACATTGGATGCTCTCCATTTCTAGTGCAGAGGTCTGTCCTTGAATTAGTAAGAAATGTCACAATCATTAATGCTCTCAGAGGAATTAAAATTTATGAATCTATTGCTCCTAACATCACATCCAGTTCTTTCTCCTCTAGTGGCTTCACTGGCCAACTTTATGGTGGTTCCATTATAATCAGAAGAAGCAATGTTACCATTGAAAATTGAGTTTTTGTAGGAAATCAAGCTCAGACTGGAGGAGCCATCAGTATCACATGAGTGATCGGTGAAAAATGTTTTAACTATATCTCCAATACTTCGTTTATCGGGAACATTGCTTACGTTCAAGGAGGAGGAATAAACTATAATACTTACCCTCCCATTCTGTCAAATGTGAGTTTCGACTCTAACATTGCTCCTTATGGGGCCGATATTGGAAGTTATGCCCTTGATATTATCTTTGAAAAGACAAACTCAACTTTTATGAGCATTGACAATGTTGGAAGTGGAATTCCTCTGGCTCAGAATATTACTGTCAAAGTCATTGATCATGAAGGCCAGGTAATGAACCAGCTTAATGATGGAGTTATAATAATGTCATATGCTAATACTCCTGGCCAAACCTCCAGCTCGAAAGGAATCCTTGGAATAGATAGAGCTGCGATTCTAAATGGAACAGCTGTATTTACTGACATTGCCTTACTTGCTCCTCCAGGATCTCAAAAAGTGAGGTTTCATGTGGAATCTAATAATGTTAAGAACAAGAAGGCTATCTATAACATTTCTAGTGAAAATATTTATGAGTACACTTCAAGTTTAGTAGTAAATTTCAGGTACTGAATTCCAGGTGAGATGCAAGAGAATGAAAAGTGTACAGAGTGTAGTGCCCTCACTTATTCTTTGAAAAGCAATTCAACTACATGCCACAACTGAATGGATAATGCTCAATGACTTGGGAAGAAAGCTATTTCAGTTGATAAAGGCTATTGGAGAAAAAGCGAAACAACCTCAGCAGTTGTTGATTGCCCAAGAAAAGAGTCATGAGAAGGAGGATATCATCCTGAAAATGAGTACCCTGTGAAATGTCAGGAAGGATATACTGGCCCATTATGTATTGAATGAGTAGCAACAGAAGAAATAAAGTTTCAGCCTAGAACAAATTTTCAATGAGGAAAATGTCCTAATAAGCTGATGAATGCTATCAGAGTTATTGGTCTTCAAATTCTCGTATTGGCTTTCCTTGGATTTATAATAGTAGTTAATTTCAAGAAAAAGACAGAAAATCAACTTTCTATCCTAATGAGAATTTTCACAAATTATGTTCAGTTGATTTCAGCATCAATTTCGTTCAACATTGATTTTCCAAAATCATTTAATGATCTTTTCTCTCTCAGTGATAGACTCAGTTCAGCAGAATATTCTTTCTTTTCATTTGATTGCTTTATTGAGGATTATGAAGTCAAGCTGTTTGCTCCTTCGAATGCTCTCTTCAAAATGATGCTGTACCTCATCCTTCCTCTATTTGTATTTTTATTGGTATCAATAGGCATCTCTGCTTGGAGGTTGTTCATGAAAATGTTGAAACCAGAGAACCAATATGATATGAAGAGACTTTTCACAATTTCATTCATCTGTATAATGTTCTTGTTCCATCCAACTTTGATCTTCCAATCTCTCAAGGTCTTCCAATGCATCAAAATTGATGATGGTGAATCCAGAATGATCATGTACATTGATGCTCAGTGATACTCTGGAGAACATCTCAAATGGATATTCATTGGAGGGCTTCCAATAATTCTAATTTGGGTTGTAGGAATGCCACTCTCTATATTTGTTATTCTTTACAAGAATCGCCACAATCTTGAAAAAGAAATAATTCAGAAATATTTTCTCATAGTCTACCAAGGATTAAAGAGCGAACGCTTTTACTGGGAGATATTCAACACTTTCAGGAAATTCATGGTGCTTGCATTTAATGTGTTTCTATCAACAGCTGACCCCAACTACAGAGTTTTATGAGCCATTAGTAAGTTTTCGCTTGTAACCACATAGTTTGCCTCATAATCATGATGAAGGTGCAGGAACGCTTGAAGCCATACAAAAATCCAGAGAACAATAGGATAGAGATCATTGGAATTATTGCTGGTTTAATTACTCTCTATTGAGGGATTGTGTTCATCACCAAAGAAAAATCGTTATCATCAGTCAAGATGGCAAGTTTACTCTTGTTGGTGGGAATAAACTGCTACTTTTTACTGTATTGGGGGTATCTTGTCTGTTTATACCTTAACTACAAAAATAAATATTTTGTCGGGTTCCTAAAATTCTATCACGCAATATTATGTAAAAATCCAAAGAAACTCCAGGCTTTTAAAATAGAAAGCAGCAATAACAGCAAAGTTGTGAAGAAACTTGTCAAATATAAAAAGAAAAAACTAAATAAAAGAAGATTATTCAGAAGAAGAAACAGGAACTACAAAAAGCATCCCCAAGCCTCTAGACAAAAACCCAACTCTAAGACCTCCCAGAAGCTTCCTTTATCAAACATGTCCACCCCAATATCCGCCCTAAAACCTTCGAACCTCGACTCCTTCAAACCCAAACAAGAGTGTAAGGATCTCTCTCACCTCTATAGCCAACTAACCCTTCCGTCTCCTTGTACGTCCTCAAAAAGATAACTGAGGAACCTCCTTCTCCAAAATGGGTATCTGAATCTAGTCCAGGTTCTGAATAATAATCTGAAAAGTTTATAATTGTTGATGTTCAGCTGAGGGATGAGGCTGGGGTTTTGGGGTTTTGGGGTTTTGGGGTTTTGGGG